GGGGACTGATTTTTACCATAGAGTGATTGGGTAGGAGTCATTCTTTACTGTGCAATATTTACCATGGAGTGATTGGGTAGGAGTCATTCTTTACTGTGCAATATTCATGACAGGGACTGAGTTTTATCATGGAGTGATTGGGTAGGAGTCATTCTTTACTGTGCAATATTTACCATGGAGTGATTGGGTAGGAGTCATTCTTTACTGTGCAATATTCATGACAGGGACTGAGTTTTACCATGGAGTGATTGGGTAGGAGTCATTCTTTACTGTGCAATATTCATGACAGGGACTGAGTTCTACCATGGAGTGATTAGGTAGGAGTCATTCTTTACTGTGCAATATTCATGACAGGGGACTGAGTTTTACCATAGAGTGATTAGGAAGGAGTCATTCTTTACTGTGCAATAGTCGTGACAGGGGACTTATTTTTACCATAGAGTGATTAGGTAGGAGTCATTTTCTACTGTGCAATATTCATGACAGGGAGTGAGTTTTACCATGGAGTGATTGGGTAGGAGTCATTCTTTACTGTGCAAAATTCAAGTCAGGGACTGAGTTTTACCATGGAGTGATTGGGTAGGAGTCATTTTTTACTGTGCAATATTCATGACAGGGATTGTGTTTTACCATGGAGTGATTGGGAAGGAGTCATTCTTTACTGTGCAATAGTCATGACAGGGACTGATTTTTACCATAGAGTGATTATGAAGGAGTCATTCTTTACTGTGCAGTAGTCATGACAGGGGACTGGTTTTTACCATAGAGTGATTGGGTAGGAGTCATTCTTTACTTTGCAATATTTACCATAGAGTGATTGGGTAGGAGTCATTCTTTACTGTGCAATATTCATGACAGGGACTGAGTTTTATCATGGAGTGATTGGGTAGGAGTCATTCTTTACTGTGCAATATTCATGTTAGGGACTGTGTTTTACCATGGAGTGATTGGGTAGGAGTCATTCTTTACTGTGCAATATTCATGACAGGGGACTGAGTTTTACCATGGAGTGATTAGGAAGGAGTCATTCTTTACTGTGCAATATTCATGACAGGGACTGAGTTTTACCATGGAGTGATTGGGTAGGAGTCATTCTTTACTGTGCAATATTCATGACAGGGACTGACTTTTACCATGGAGTGATTGGGTAGGAGTCATTCTTTACTGTGCAATATTCATGACAGAGACTGAGTTTTACCATGGAGTGATTGGGTAGGAGTCATTCTTTACTGTGCAATATTCATGACAGGGACCGAGTTTTACCATGGAGTGATTGGGTAGGAGTCATTCTTTACTGTGCAATATTCATGACAGGGACTGAGTTTTATCATGGAGTGATTGGGTAGGAGTCATTCTTTACTGTGCAATATTCATGTTAGGGACTGAGTTTTACCATGGAGTGATTGGGGGTAGGAGTCATTCTTTACTGTGCAATATTCATGACAGGGGACTGAGTTTTACCATGGAGTGATTAGGAAGGAGTCATTCTTTACTGTGCAATATTCATGACAGGGACTGAGTTTTACCATGGAGTGATTCGGTAGGAGTCATTCTTTACTGTGCAATATTCATGTTAGGGACTGAGTTTTACCATGGAGTGATTGGGGGTAGGAGTCATTCTTTACTGTGCAATATTCATGACAGGGGACTGAGTTTTACCATGGAGTGATTAGGAAGGAGTCATTCTTTACTGTGCAATATTCATGACAGGGACTGAGTTTTACCATGGAGTGATTGGGTAGGAGTCATTCTTTACTGTGCAATATTCATGACAGGGACTGACTTTTACCATGGAGTGATTCGGTAGGAGTCATTCTTTACTGTGCAATATTCATGACAGAGACTGAGTTTTACCATGGAGTGATTGGGTAGGAGTCATTCTTTACTGTGCAATATTCATGACAGGGACCGAGTTTTACCATGGAGTGATTGGGTAGGAGTCATTCTTTACTGTGCAATATTCATGACAGGGACTGAATTTTACCATGGAGTGATTGGGTAGGAGTCATTCTTTACTGTGCAATATTCATGACAGGGAGTGAGTTTTACCATGGAGTGATTGGGTAGCAGTCATTCTTTACTGTGCAATATTCATGACAGGGATTGAGTTTTACCATGGAGTGATTGGGTAGGAGTCATTCTTTACTGTGCAATATTCATGACAGGGATTTATTTTTACCATGGAGTGATTGGGTAGGAGTCATTCTTTACTGTGCAATATTCATGACAGGGAGTGAGTTTTACCATGGAGTGATTGGGTAGCAGTCATTCTTTACTGTGCAATATTCATGACAGGGATTGAGTTTTACCATGGAGTGATTGGGTAGGAGTCATTCTTTACTGTGCATTATTCATGACAGGGACTGAGTTTTACCATGGAGTGATTGGGTAGGAGTCATGTTTTACTGTGCAATATTCATGACAGGGATTGTGTTTTACCATGGAGTGATTGGGAAGGAGTCATTCTTTACTGTGCAATATTCGTGACAGGGACTGAGTTTTACCATGGAGTGATTGGGAAGTAGTCATTCTTTACTGTGCAATGTTCACGACAGGGGACTGATTTTTTTTACCATGGAGTGTTTGGGTAGGAGTCATTCTTTATTGTGCAATATTCATGACAGGGAGTGAATTTTACCATGGAGTGATTGGGTAGGAGTCATTCTTTACTGTGCAATATTCATGACAGGGAGTGAGTTTTACCATGGAGTGATTGTGTAGCAGTCATTCTTTACTGTGCAATATTCATGACAGGGATTGAGTTTTACCATGGAGTGATTGGGTAGGAGTCATTCTTTACTGTGCAATAGTCATGACAGGGATTTAGTTTTACCATGGAGTGATTGGGTAGGAGTCATTCTTTACTGTGCATTATTCATGACAGGGACTGAGTTTTACCATGGAGTGATTGGGTAGGAGTCATGTTTTACTGTGCAATATTCATGACAGGGATTGTGTTTTACCATGGAGTGATTGGGAAGGAGTCATTCTTTACTGTGCAATATTCCTGACAGGGACTGAGTTTTACCATGGAGTGATTGGGAAGGAGTCATTCTTTACTGTGCAATATTTATGACAGGGACTGAGTTTTACCATGGAGTGATTGGGAAGAAGTCATTCTTTACTGTGCAATGTTCACGACAGGGAACTGATTTTTTTTTACCATGGAGTGATTGGGTAGGAGTCATTCGTTACAGTGCAAATATTCATGACATGGACTGATTTTTACCATGGATTGATTGGGAAGGAGTCAAATCAGCATCAATTCACCACAATCAATACTTATTTTTGCCACCAGATTTAATACGCATCACAATGTACATTAACGATATTTACTGCGGTCTCGAGGTTGTTCGGATCTTTCGATCAATGGTGAAAACCAAGACTACCCGAATGAAAACGACACTGCTGGTCAGGTACTTGCAAAAACATCTAAATCGGCGAACAATAATTGCATTTTCTCCAATATATCACAAACTGAACGAAGTGTGTCGAGCTGTTTTTAAAATTTAACTATTCTTCATTACGACTTGCTTAAGTTGGAAATTAGCAGGCGCAGTTATGATAAACTAGTAGGGTTGGATCTACCGAAGGATGCGGACTCGTGTCCACCCTTGTACTATATTATTACAGGTTAGGCCATCAACTTTATTGTAACAAACCCATGTGGTCTGTGAAAGCATCTACTGTTCTGTCCAGATATAATTTGAGAGGAATTTATCTATTACAATTATTCGTTAGAAATACAAAGTGCTCATTGACTTTTTGAACTAAACACATCTTTGGGTTTATGGAGAACCAATTCAGACAACTGTTTAGATTATATCGTTGTGATACTTCAATACTTTTGGCACATCACGACTATTAGTACGTCAAGGTATTAAAAACTCATGGAATTCTACACTTTTGAACTTGTGATAAGAAACTTGGGATTATTTGGGATTTAATTCACAATACTTAAAAGTTCCTTTAAATTTTACCCTTGAAACTTAGAAACGAATTTGTTACTTTTGTTAAGCTTGCTAGTTTTGTTTCTTTCTGTTACTTCGTTTAACAACTCAAAAGCTGATCAAAATTCTTTGATTTTTTTTGTCTAAATGTCAGTCCAAACGCAGAATGGTTAGATTATGTTTGAATATGATCTTGCAGCTTGACTTATTCCTGGTAACTTTGCTAAATAAATAATACAAAATAGGTCAGCTATTAGTGTCTGTAGTAGAAGCTAACGTGGAATTTGTGAAACTATTGATGGTTAACTTCAATATATTAAGTATTAATGATTTTTATTTTCTTTTATTTCCGTATTTGTGGCATTTTATAGACTCCAATGAATGTAACTGCTACGTGTCTGCGGCATGATTCCCCAGTGCTAAACATCACTCTACACTATCACACTGCAGACATCTTAGCGATTTGACCGAAAAATAGGTAAAAGCTACGTTAAAAATCCAAATCACTCACCCACCCATTCAATGATTATAGTTTGATTTCAAATAACTCAATAGTAGGGCTGCGTAAATATATTTTGATTTTCCTTTATTTTTTATTAGTGTTACCGTAGTCCTATGTGAGTGGGCTGGTGCGTTTAAATTCTTTACCAATATTTTAATGTAATTTTATTTGTGTCTTATTGAAACAATCTAGGTTGATACGTCTTTGCGATATTCTAAATTGGAAATATATTTACTACTTGTTGGACTGTTCATCCTCTTGTAGTGAAAGGAGATCCGCCTTTAATATTTGAACTTCGTATTAGTAATTTGAAGTAATACCTATATTTTTAATGCCCATTGCCCCACCCCCTTACAACCGAAAATATGTGAAATGTACTGGACGAATTTGACAGTGTTTTCAGCTTGTAGAGTGGAAATACATAAATACGAAATCGGGCACGTGCGTTTCACTTTTATATATCTTCATTTTTTTTTGTGCGTCAAACTCATGTGACGTTCCTTGTTGAAAGAACTTCAATAAAACATAGATTACCAGATCTTGTAACCGCTCCGGTGGCCTAGTGGTTAGAGCGTCTGCCTCGTATGCGGGAGGTCACGGGTTTGAACTCCTGCCGAGTCATACCGGCGACTTAAAAAATGGTACTTAAATGGCCTCGATTGGCGTTCAGCATTAAGAGGTTAGTGTTTGTACTTAACTGGTCGGCCTAGTTTCAGGATAAAATATGTGACTGTGTAGGACATCATGCCATATGTCAGCGGTTAGTCCGAGTTTCCTCTGACCCTCGACACCCCATTTTTGATATCTGGTTTTTTATGTTGGGGTGTAGGGTCAAAGTCTATTCCCTATCAAAAACTTGGAATTTGCCGACACCATTTGGTGTCGGCATAGGGTACTCGCCAACTATCAGGCCTAGCAAACTTAAATGACCTTACATTGACCCATAATTACATTAAATCGATTGGGAAATCATTTATCTTCTCAGAAATTACAAGCATAACACCGATTTTGTCTTTAATCTGTTGTCAGACGAGTCGTAACTACAGCGTCGATGAATTTTGACCTCGTTCGCACCAGTTTCATTGCTAGTCACATGACTAACTAAATCTAGCAGCCGAATTGCATAAACGTCATAGGTCAAATAGTCACGTGATAACAACAAAAAGCCGCGTTTTCCCATACCCCTTGTGGAAGACAGCAAATGTGTCACCTTCATTGATAACTGATTTTATTACATCATACTGTAGTTCTTTAATATTAAAATAGTATCCCTTTTCTTAAAGTATCTCATTGGCAAGAGCTAACGTGTATTCGTCTTTACCTGCCATGTTGCAATATAGGTTTATGCACAAAACCTTCCATTCTGGTATTGCAGAAAGAAGACAAACTCGAAAATATTGAATGAAAGTCACGCAATGTATACAATAACAAGAAAAAACACGTATTATTCAACATATTAATTGGGATAACAGCAGCCCGAAACATGTCGCTGTCGCATCTTCCTGGAAAGAGGCTGACTGATCACGCAGAAATTACATGTCAACGCACTTTGTTGTTAAATCCAGCAAGTAACGCCATGTTGGTCCGTTATATAACAAAAGAAAACATTTTAAGAACGCATTGCAAATTTCTTGAAAAAAAAAAATCATACAACAGTTTTGTTTCAAGAATAAATGAAAAGTCGAGTTGGGTTACACTTATCCAGAAATTCAACAATTTTAGAAAATTAAATTTTTTTGGACACTCATGGGAAAGCAAACGGATATTTGCCCTTTCTGATACTTTAGCTTTCTTTCTTTTCTATATAGACAGGTTACACGCATTGAAGGAAGGGCAGGGTAGGCTCTTCATAATAATCTACCGCCACAGCAATACTTCTTGGCGGTCTATTCCTTGTAACGAAAACTTGGCCGCCAGTAATTTTGTTTAGGAATGAAAATGTGTGACTTTGATCATTACGTTACATAGAAAAATACACTTGCAATTCAAAAACTTCACTTTAGAGTCAATTAACTAGTTTCGTGAATGTTTCTTTTGAAGATTTTGTACGACAAGATATGATTTCTGTTTCAATAGCAGTACCGTCCTTACTCACTTATAAGTCAACTCAACTGCACAGACCCAGATCTGCCGACGCATAATCTGTACAGTTTATTAAGAGTAAAGAGAAGAACAAACAATACATACCACGATCTGCAGGCGAGTTATATTATGGTAGACCTAAGATCTCTGTTGCTGGCAGTTTGGCTAGACTTAAAAGCAAGTATATACGCTATTAAAGTAATTCGTCGCATTCAGTGTGAATTTTAGATTGTGTTTGTACTTGAAATAATAGCTCAACGTTTGTCCCACCTTATCGCATCTGTATAAACTCCTTTTTTTTTAAGCGAACGTAAGCTATCTTCAGAGGCGCAAATATTTGTGGTCTGACGGGATCTGAGCAATTACAAAGACTTTATTACACGTAATTTAGTCAATATTACAATAAATTCTAACTATGAATTTCCCACAGTACAAGTTTAAAACATTGCAGGTTGAGTATATATATATATATATATATATATATATATATATATATATATATATATATATATATATATATATATATATATATATATATATATATATATATACACACACACACACACACACACTAAAGACCCTAGGTATATGCAAGTTGTATTTACGTCTCATTTTAAGTTTTGTTAGATTTTAGTGATTATTTGCTGATTATGCTGAGCCTGTGTTTTCAAGATATTTCTCATCCGGTAATTAGCAGACGTCATAATGTACAGGATGTACATAACTACGAGTGCATGCATTAGTTTCGTAAAATGGACCCTCCCTAATTTCTTAACAGATGTAATTCTCTGTACATTGTACATGTTTAGTAATTTGAGATAGGAATAGTTATTTGTATTAACTCATTGGGTCGTGTTGTGTATTGCATGCCCTCAAGTACTAATATTCAGCTCAGAAACGCTTAATCTTACAAATGTGAACCATGCAAGTGTGACCTTGTCAGTTCCTTGATGTGTGGTCATTGGTTGATTAGAGAAAATTATTTGTAGTATGTGTGCGTTAAAGAACCGTTCAGTTAACAAAGTCAGTTGTCCACAGGTGCTCGGAAAAAGGGGAAACATGGACTGTTCAATTCATATTCGCTCATAAGATTTTTGACATTTATAACATCGTCAATAAACCTACAAATTACTGTTGAAAACTTGTCTAAAAGAAAATAAACAGACTACAAACGGTTACCCCAATAACTAAAGTATAAAAATGAGAAATCTCAAACATTTCACGCATACCTTAATTACAATCATCTGACTGTATGTAATTTATATTGTATAAACAAAATTAACACCGTTACATAACAATATTAACAACTGACAATATGCCCCTACCATACACACATGGCACCTGGCGCCGAGACTAAGGAACTAAGGGAGATAACATTTTGTTTTCAAAAGTTATCTAAAAATACGTATTGCAAAATGTATAATCAATCGGACATGTTCGATTTTTCGATCGACTTATTATTCACTTATAGAAATGTTATATGGTTGCTTGTCTTAAATGCAAAATGTAATGAAATTATTCAAAACTGCGCGTGTACCTGGAAAATCGAATGCTCTCACATCGGGCAAGATGAACTATGTTCGTTTGACACAATAAATTGGAAGTTTATCAATATTGTCGCACTTTGCGTATTCGTCAAGGTACAAGTAATCTGAATATCCATAAGATACGAGTGATGTGGCTATCATTTAAGATACGAGTGATGTGGCTATCATTTTAAGATACGAGTGATGTGGCTATCCGCTAAGATAGGAGTGATGTGGCTATCATTTAAGATACGAGTGATGTGGCTATCCGCTAAGATAGGAGTGATGTGGCTATCATTTAAGATACGAGTGATGTGGCTATCATTTAAGATACGAGTGATATGGCTATCTGTTAAGATACGAGTGATGTGCAATATTCACGAAATGTTTAAGCCTCAGACTGTCAGCGTGTCATGAAATAAAATGATGAATAAAATGCCCCGGTTTGCAAGAGCAATGAATTGCAAACGTGACAAGTATTAGATTCTTTGAATGTATGGTCATGTGGTCATATCACGACTTTTTGTAAGTCTGCATCGACTTAATGTGTAGGTTAGAGGTCATATCATGACTTTCTGTAAGTCTGCATCGACTTAATCTGTAGGTTAGAGGTCATATCACGACTTTTTATAAGTCTGCATCGACTTAATGTGTAGGCTAGGGGTCATATCACGACTTTTTATAAGTCTGCATCGACTTAATGTGTAGGCTAGAGGTCATATCACGACTTTTATGTCTGCATCGAATTAATGTGTAGGCAAGGGGTTATATCGCGACCCTCTGTAAAACTGCATCAATTGAAGTCACGCTGAAGAAATATACAATGGAAACACGATTGATGAAATATTTCATTTATTTCTTTTTTCCCCCAGTTACAATTAATGATTACAAAACGAAAACAAGAATGTTCACTGGTAATTATAGAACACATTAAGACAATTTACGAGTATGATATGTCGCATTATGCGAGACGAAATTTAATTAACACTGTCCCCAAGCATCAGTCAGCTATATTCCTTGACTTGCCATCGTGGTACTAATACATTGCCCGCTTCGATTTTAATGTGTACGGTCTAACAATCGTCGGAGAGTTCAAACAATACTTCACTTACTGGAAGAAATGCGTTAATTTTCTTATATTTTTATGTTGCTTTTTACAAGCCTTTTCAGTTGTGTGGAACAGTGATGACTTTTATATGCTTGACGCATCATCTTCGATCAAGAGTACCAGCTCTCCTCTGTGACAGTGAAAACGCATTGTCCACCAGCACCAGAAATAGTCAAACAGTATTTCCTTGTATGCAGCATCAACAAATTTATGGAGTCGAATAGCAATTTACACCCGATTGTTCTTTGGTACGTGTCGTGAAATATAATGAGAAGATGTCTCTGTCTGTATCAATGAAAATGAAGTTGCCACAATAAAGAGAATTTGGACAACATATAAATTCCACGAACGACTAAAACACAATTCTTTTGTGACTGAAAAAAAATAGAATGTTGCACCCTGCAAATTTAATTGTTCAGTAAATTATTTATCTCTTGTCCTCATATATAGACAAAGTAACCTGTACTTATTTTCTCGTGTGCTATCAAAGCACCATATACTTCATGTTAAAACAAATTCCCTACATTTTGTTCTCACAAAGCTATATCTTATCTTCTTGTTCTCAAATGTACCCAAAGCAGTCCTACTCCAGATGGAAAAATTTTTTTTTTAACTATCGTTCAATTAACACAGTCTCTTACATACAACATTCAGTTTGCAATGAGGAACATGTACAGAAAGCAAACGGTATAAGGTGTCTTTCTTGCATTTTTGTAGCACAATCAGTCATCACTCTGTGGAACTCTTAATGTTATAGCACTGAAATATCTAGGATTTGTAAAGATCTCGTTCAAAAATTTTGCAAAACTAAAACAATCCAACATTGTAAAGAATAACTGAACAGGCAGACCTTAACAGAAAATGTGATGAAGAAACATGAATAAAGAAAACGAACATCTGGAATA